GAGGATATTGCATGACAGGGACAAGGTGCGCCACGCAGCAGGGTGGCTGATCGATGCGGGAGGCCTAGAGCAATACCGGGTGGCCAAGGAAGTTGAGGAGGAGGTAATAGAGGACTGGAAACCGTTCCAGCTCCTCCACGACGTGCCAGAATAAGCTCTCCGCGTAGGCGGAAACACCGACTCGTACGGATAGATGATAAACGTTTGAGATAGTCTACTAAAGGGAGGAGGCGGGATTTCATGTACCCGCAGCCTCAGGGCTATGGGGAAACTTTTGCCCGCGGCAGACCAGATAGAATGCCGTGCTCATAGACCCGAAAGGGATCCAGATAGTACGTTAAATTGATTCTTATTCTTATTCTTATTATTATATTCACAAATTATTCATATTATTCATATTATTCGTATTCGTTTCGGAGCTCTAGGCACAACCATTGACCTCACTATGGCCTCTCCTAACCATGTCGAAGATCTTATAAGATGCCACGTGTGGCCTACAGCATACTCTATGGATCGGACCACGAGGCTATCGAGACCGCTGTTCACCTCGAAACCCGGGACAGTACTTTTGCGCCGCGACGACTCTTCCGGAATACGGACTGGGATAAAGTCGTGAATAGGACCAAAGCAGCATTTGCCTCTATCCTTCCGATCTCTTCATCGAGTCCCCAGGATTTAGACGAAGCGGTAGACCTCCTTACAATGACCGTTCGGGAAGCTACACTAGAGTTTACGCCCGTCTCCAAACCGTCTCCATATACAAAACGATGGTGGTCCCATGACCTTACCCTCCTCAGGAAAGCCTACACAAACGCAAGAAGCGAGGCCAGAGCCCTTCGGAGGCATGGATCTAGAAACCTAGCCATTGAGCAAGCAGCCACATCCGCAAAGAAAACCTTCCACGACACTGCAAGACGGCAGAGGAGGAAATGCTGGCAGGACTTCATTGACGATTCATCTAACATCTGGAAAGCATCTAAATACCTCCGCCCCGCTGAGGAATCGAGCTTCGGAAGGATCCCTGTCATTAAGAAGGGGGAGCAAATCATTACCGACGACCAGGGCATCGCAGAGGAACTCCTCTCGCAATTCTTCAATCAGGAGGCAACAGCTACTGAAACCGATAGAGAAGAACGGAGCCATCGGACCCTAGTATGGGAGGATATTATGGAGGAAGAAGTACTCTGCGCCATCAAGAGGGCCAAACCATACAAAGCCCCTGAACCTGACAGCCTGCCGTTAATAGTATGGCAGAAGGTATGGCCAGTTGCGAAACACCATATACTTGCTATATATAGAACCTCTCTGAGTACCGGACATGTGCCGAGCCAGTGGAAGACAGCACGCATCGTGCCTCTTCGGAAACCTGGAAAGCCGGATTATACGGCCGCCAAAGCTTACCGTCCGATCTCACTACTCCCTACTCTTGGGAACGTTCTCGAAGCAGTCATTGCGGAAAGAATTTCGTATCTCGATGATCAATATGGCCTCCTCCCTAAAGCCCATTATTGAGCCCGGAAACAGCCCTCCACGACCGAAGCGCTACAGACCTTGATCGAAGCAGTACACAGAGCCTGGAGACAAAAGAAGGTCCTTTCAATGATTAGCTTCGACATCAAAGGGGCATATAACGGGGTAATACCGCAGGTACTACACCGTCGCCTTAGAAACAGAGGAATTCCAGAGATCGCCTGCAGCTGGGTCCTCCAATTCTGTCTCGACCGGAGGGCATCGATCATTGTTAACGGAACGGAATCGGTAGTCCATGACATCCAACACGCAGGGTTGCCACAAGGCTCCCCTCTTGCCCCAATTCTTTTCCTGTTTTACAACGCGGACTTAGTCCAGCAAAAACACACTGACCGCGGTGGATCAATGGCGTTTGTAGACGACTATACCGCATGGGTAGTCGGACCAGATGAACACGAGAACGTTAAGAGGATACAATCGGATACCGTCCCGAAAGTCGAACAATGGAGCCGTACAAGTGGAGCTACCTTCGAGCCTGACAAGACGCAATTCATCCACTTCACAAGGCGGAGGAATAAGGCCTCTCAGGAGCCTATGAACCTTACTTTCGCCGGCCGGACGATTACTGCTCAAAGAGAAGCCAAAATCCTCGGAGTTACACTCAACCAGAAACTCTCCTTCCACGGCCACACCGCCAAAGTTGCCACTAAAGCAGAGAGGGCGGCCATAGCCCTGAAGAGGCTGAGGGGTCTCCGTCCGGAGGCAAAACGGCAATTATTCCACGCCACGGTGGCGCCAGTGTCAGATTACGCTCCCCCAGTATGGTTCCCAGGATCGGCGAAAACGACTGTCCACAGATTAGAACGAGCCACTAAAATGGGAGCCACAGCGATCGTAGCCATGTTCCGTTCCGCAGCGTACGATGTGGCTGCCGCGGAAGCAGGAATAAAAACGATTGGAGAAAGACTCAAGGAACTCACCCGGAAATACTGGATCTTGATGCATACCAGACCGGAGAAGCATCCGTGGTGGAAGACCCAGAACCTCCTGGCCACAGCTAAAATCCCTCGGTCCCCGCTAGAACATACCGAAAGAACGTTCCAGCAGATCGACCTTCGGAAGATACAGATCAAACCAGCGTTCTCGGTGGCACCCTGGACCCCCCGAATCCCAACGAAACGATTCTCCAACCAGGAAATGCAGAACCACCAACCGCCACTGTATTCTCTGTTCGGGACCGCTGTCCGGTACGCCGACCGCGCTGAAATAGTAGTCACGACGCCGATGATCCCAGCGCTCGCCCGGCGGAGAATTCTAACCGACGCCAAAGCAACCGACGACAGAAGCCTAGAGACGGAAGTCATCATCGAGTCACTACAGGTGGTACTAACTATCACAAGATTCCAGTACAGAGGGAGCTTTATCACGCAAATCTACACGCGCAGTCAGGATATGGTTAACCTTGTCCAATGGCCAAGGTCTAGAAAGATCGCGAAGCTCGAACGGATATATGCGCTGGCCAGACAACTAAAAGAACTAGGAATCGGAATCAGATCGTTCACTGCCCACTACCAACGACACTTGAAGGCTTCGACAAGGCCCTTGAGCAGATAGGAAGGGAGGTACAGAGATACGAACCCGCGGAACCAGCCCAGACGGCCCACACAGCGGCCCTGAAACTCGGCAGGGCAGACCAACGCCAAAAATAAGAAGCATTTCGTAAAAGCACAACCGGGAAGTTCATCAAATATCTCGACAAAGCGCTCCCGGGTCGTCATGCGAGAGCACTCTACGACCGCCTCCCGGGTTCCGACGCCGCCCTCCTAGCCCAAATGAGGACGGGTTACTGCAGACTCAACCACTACCTGAAAAAGATCGCTGCAAGTGATACCAGCTCCTGCGAATGCGGAGAAACGGAAACGGTGGAACATTTCCTTCTCAAATGCGGGTTGTGGAATACACCAAGAGCAGGCTTAAGAGCCAAAGTCGGAAGACGGCACGATGATATTGCCTACCTCCTAGGAGCGTACACGTCACTGGAAAAGGATGGACCTATCGACAAATGGAAACCGGATAGAGAGGTAGTTAACGCGACTCTGGCCTTCGCGAAGGAGACAAACAGATTGGACGCACAACGATAGATCCAGACAACATGCCGAGATGTCCTCAATCTCAAAACAACGCTGCGCCGCAAGCAAGAACAGCGTTCCCAATAACCATTTCTCAAAGGAGATTACTTAGAGGGCCCTCAGTATCGGCCATCTCGGCCACTTGGATTTAAACACGGAGGATATGAGTGCAGAGCAGAGTATAGAAAACAGGCATCAACAATGTAAATTAGTCAGCTAGTTCCCCACATGGGCCAACCGATGTTGGCCCGAACGGGCGCAGGAATTGTTGACAGTTTTGGCGTGTCTATCCACACGGAAGCAATAGGTTACGTGGCGAAGAATGTAAAGTGCTTGTATTTCTGTAAGAAGTAGAAGTACCGAACGGGGTAGATATACCCATGACTAAGTAATAGCCGAAGCGGGGAAACAAATGACTAAGTAATGACATCAGATCTTGACAGGAATCAATCAATCAATCAATCGCTGAGAGGCCTGACGGGCGTATGAATCTCTCTCTCTCTTCTCTTCTTTATCTTTCGTTTCGTCGAATACAAGCTGTTTTACTATAGTGATCCATCTCCATGGTCCTCCAAAATAGCACTGTAACAGTGCGCCAATTGAACTACATGATGGTTGCTTCCAACAAAGGTGTGCAAGGGCTAAAATAGGTCTGATATTGTGAAGGAACTGTTTCCTAAAAACTATAAGAGAGGAGATAGGAGACCTCCTTTAATATGCAGGCACTGAACAGGCTTAGCGCTCATGCTAGGCGAGGTTGGAAAGGGCAACACGGAACACTAATAAATAATCCACGAGTGCTCTGGCACCTCCCTTCTTGAGTTGAATCTGAGAAATGGTATGCAATTTGGTGGCGCAGGCAGTGAATTGGGTTTAGGGGAGTAGGACCTGTCCATTTTTAATTTTGTATTACCTTCCTATACAAGCTCTCCCCACACTTTCCTTGAACAGCTTCCCGTTTTCTGCTGCCATTTGGCGTGCCGCAGCATACTAGCTTGCTACACTCCTCTGCAAACGGGAATAAGTCAGGGGGAGTATTTCAAATGTTTACTCGCGAATTCTTTTCCCTAATGAGATGCCGTATTCAATCGGTCTTTTAAGAGCGAGAAGCAGCCGAATATAATTATGCACATTGAGGTCGAGGCAGCGTTAGAAGATTCGTCCTATAAGGGAAAAGAGCGTGTGTGCTTAACTATTCGTCACGTTCCGCCTTGATACGGACGAATAGGGCTCTGGCTACCCCGTTTCTTCATATCCAATCACGAAAAAGGCATTTCCACTTTCAAGATGCGTTCACGCCTTCTCCTCACTGGCCTCGTGTCCTTGGCGGTCGCAGACGTAGTGAATCGAGTCGCAGCACCGTCTGTCGTTGCTCCTGCTCCCCAAGCGACTGTCATCGGCAAACTGGATGACACGATCGAGAGCTTCCGAGGTGTCCCTTTCGCTCAGCCCCCAGTGGGCCACCTCCGATTGCGTCCTCCGCTGCCGTTGAATGCGCCGCTGGGAACCATCGAAGCGACCTCACCAGCGCAAGCTTGCCCCCAGATGTTCTTCAGCACTGCCAATGCCCAACTTCCGGCGAACCTGCTAGGCATCCTGATGAATCTGCCGCTGTTCCAAGAGATCCTAAATGCCGGCGAAGACTGTTTGACCCTCGACATTTTTAGGCCTGCAGGGATCCCAGCGGATGCAAAACTGCCGGTGTTGTTCTGGATCTACGGAGGGGGTTTTCAGCTTGGCTCGACTTCATTGTTTAGCGGCGGCACAATGGTGAAGTCTGCGATCGACTTAAATATGCCTATCATCTTAGTGGGCGTGAACTATCGCATGGGAGGCTTCGGCTTCATGGCCGGGAAGGAGATCAAGGCGGATACGGCCGGAAACTTGGGATTGCTCGACCAAAGGCTTGGTCTGCAATGGGTGGCGGACAATATCGCAGCCTTCGGGGGTAATCCGGATAAGGTTACCATCTGGGGCCAGTCTGCGGGAGCGATCAGTGTCTTTGACCAAATGGTCCTATTTGACGGCGACAACACCTACAAGGGAAAGCCGCTCTTCCGCGGAGCAATTATGAACTCAGGAGGAGTTATCCCAGCCGACCCTATCGACGGAGTTAAGGGCCAGCTCATTTACGACACTGTCGTGAAGAACGCCGGATGCTCAAGGGCGTCCGACACGCTGCAATGCCTGCGCGAGCTCTCCTACAACGACTTCCTAGATGCTGCTAACTCCGTTCCTGCTATGCTGAGCTATTTCTCTGTCTCTCTAGCATATCTTCCACGACCTGATGGCTTCTCAATGACCGATTCTCCTGACGAACTTGGCCTTGCCGGCAAGATTGCTAAAGTTCCATTCATCATCGGTGACCAAGAAGACGAGGGTACTCTGCTCGCACTCTTTCAGTCCAATATTACAACGACGGAGGAGCTAAATACTTACCTTAATACGATCCTCTTCCCCTTTATTGATAGGCCGATCATCGAAGGTCTTGTCGATACCTACGGAAAGAGCTTCATAGAAAGTATCGTCGAAAACTCGCCGTTCCGGACTGGATTGGACAATAATTGGTATCCGCAATTCAAGAAACTAGCCGCCATTCTGGGCGACCTTACGTTTACACTAACGAGGCGCGCCCTTCTTGACGGCATCGCTCTCGTTGCACCCGAAATTCCGTCTTGGTCATACCTTGCATCCTACGGCTACGGCACGCCTATTCTTGGCACATTCCACCTCTCAGATCTACTTCAAGTTTTATATGGCATTATGCCAAACTATGCCAGTAGATCGATCCATTCGTACTATTTCAGCTTCGTACACAACCTAGATCCGAATATCGGTGCCCACACGTACATGAAGTGGCCGCAATGGAAGGAAGGGAAGAAATTAATGAACTTCTATGCTAATCAGGCATTGATAATGAATGATGACTTCCGACAGGATTCATATGAGTTTATAATGAAGTACCGGACTATGTTTAAGATTTAAAGAATAATTTAAAGAAAGGATGTTGGAATTCCATTGCCCCTATGGTTCCCAATTTGAACATTGTCACTAGAGGTCCGAAACGAATACGAATAATATGAATAATATGAATAATTTGCGAATATGAATAAAGTCTTGGCGAATAATGTGAATGTAAGAGTCTCACTGTCGGGAATCTCCAATCGTGAGGCAAACATTGAATTGTTGCTATGAAGGAGGAATCTATCTAAGGTGTGCGAGGCGTTTATCTGTTCTGGTGTTTACAGAGCAAACGGGCCACAGGGCCACAAGGCATCCAGGTCTGCGGACCTCTGATCCATCACACTACCCCCTCCTTCAAAACACGCGAAGTCCACTGAGCGCTCTATCTAATGATACAATGAGGTCGTCGTCCTAATCATCTTTTTCTTCAATCAATTTGGGCGCAAGCTGTGCCCAGAGCTCGTCATTTGTAAAGGCTGGGTGGATGTCCGGCGCGTCCTTGTGTTTCTCGTGATACGCG